ATATATATATATATATTATTAAATACACTACGAGGACATAAGGAGGGGAGGAAGACAAAAAAAATCTCAGCTTTTGCTGAGCAATCGTAGCTCATCTGATTTTAAAAAAAATTATATGTTGGACAGTCTAGCTAGATGTCATTTATACTAGAACTGCTGTGAGTACTGTTCCAGCAAGCCTTTAACATTAGGCTTCAAAGTGCCGGAGAACGGAGAAGTGAAAATGATTTTACTGCTTACTTGCCACCTACTCAAATGCTCAAAGAGGCATTTATTGTACAGTTTTATGCACTATATAAGACTTACATATTATTATTATTATTATTATTATTATTATTATTATTATTATTATTAATCTTATTATTAATCTTATTATTCCTAGCGTTTTTCTGATTAGTCAGTTGTTAAGTTTGATTGACACTCCGGAAAGGTCTATTGTGCTTTTACACCACAATCAGGGATTGGAAATCAAAACCACAAATCGTAGGGGAGAAAAAAAACGTACAGTATATGTATTTTTTACATATTAGTAGACTCCAAAATCGATTGAATAAACTTTTGAAATGCCTAAATTAATTGTCATATTTTTCGGGGCTTCGCACCCTGGAACACTTTGGAGAGATTATGAGCAACCTCTTACCCCTATCGGACAAATCCTGGCGCCACCACTGGTTACAGCCACAGGGACCTTACCGTGGAAATAGCCTTATGATTTTGCAATAAATTCAACGAAAATATTGTTCTTCATCATGTGTTCTTATTCAATTCACGAGATTACTTTACTTTGATATTTATATGGGACTATTGACAGTATAGCCTTATATCAATAAAAATTATCCCATTTGAAAATATGTTAATGTGTTTAATTAAGCTGAACAACATAACGTGACCACCAGTGCTGGCACTCAGTTGAGTGTCGTGGAATCAGTCTATTTCGACCATGATACGCGATCAAAACGTACTTAGCAACTCTTACTTACAGCTTCCAGGTTCATGACAGCAGTCAAAAAGTCCGGATGACCATTGGGATTGCTGTGGAAGGATGAGAGAGTTTTCACCATTTAAAACAAAATTACATTCAGTGTAAACAATGTGAAAGGCATTTATAGGTATGAGGACGTGCTTTACGTGCATTGGATACTTGCACCAGAACTGAAATCTAACTTCAACAATTTACACCCCGTCGACAATGCAAGTTGAGATATGTAAGTATGACTAGTCGAGGATGGTCCAGCGTCAAGATTTCCACAACGAAAGGCCAAAGTCCCCGATATGCTCCACCAAATTTTTAAAATGGACCCTTTCGGTGTTTACATTGCCCTGGCGTAGATACTCAGAAGCCTTGTCCAGGTTATCAAATCTTATTAGACATGCCTAAATATGGCCATGATGACATAACATCATGATCATGTATCCACATCATGACTAGGCCTATGAACAGTTTTTTTTTTCAAAGAAAATTCAATTTTGCCAAAGCTTACGTTTAAGAAAAATGCGCAGGAAATCAGAATACGGTACTCATGGTTATCTTTTTGTGTGTGTGTGTCAACAATTAATACAAAAGTTATAATATGGACAAAATTTAAATATGACATAGTTATATATATATATTCTTTTTTATTGATTCCT